TAAAAGCAGTGTCTTCCGGAAAGTTTCCCCAAGACCAAGCCTGCCACCTACAGGAAGGTGAAATAGGAGGCGCCAGTCAGTCAGCCTTTTCTTCTATTGAAATGCAGTGTGATAGTCAAAGGGGAAGTTGATCTCAGCTGCCTGGGTCTCCTTCCTCACTTGAAGGCCTGTAGCTTTCACCCACACCTTCTTCCAGGCCCTTCTGGCCTCTGCCTATCCAGTCCGAAAGACAACGCCACATATTTTAGGTTTTGTTATGTCAATTTCTCACTTCCAAGTTGTAAAATTTGTGAATATTGCAGAGTAACAAACAAACACAAAACTGAGTAGCTTAAAACAACAACAATCATTTATTTCATTTACAAATCTGCAATTTTTTGCAGGGCTCAGCACAGAAGGCTTGTCTCCACTCCATACAGCGTCAGCTGGGTGGGCTTGACTGGAGGATCTGCTCTAAGATGGCTCACTCATATGGCTGGCAAGTTGGGGATGACTGCAGGCTGGAGCTCAGCCAAGGCTGTGGGCTGGAGTCTTAGTTCTTCCCCATGGATCTCTCTACAGGCTGGTTTCCAAGAGTAGGCATTCAAGAGAAAGCATTTCCCCTAGTTAGGCTGAGAACTCTCACCTTTTATGATCTAGCCTCATAGAATCATTTCCACTGTAGTGACAAGTCTGCCCAGATTCAAGAGGAAAGAACAGAGACACACCTCTCTATGTGAGGAATGTCATGACCATATTGTAAGAAGAGCATGTAAGAAGGGAGATGTGGCCATTCCTTTTTTTCTGGTCAATTAAACACAAAAGTCTAAAGAACTACTGTCTAAAAGTTAACATAACATTGAATTTAGCCTTTGACTGGCTACTTCCCAAATAATGTGGAGGCTTTATGGATCTATTGGTATGCACTTTGGATAGTAACTACTTTGTGGATGTTCAGAAAAAGCCATGCAGCTACTATTGTATGCAGCTACCTATGCTCAAAACTCAAAGCAAAAGGGCATTTAAGCTCTCCTATGAATATAATTCAATGCAACAGTATGTGACAAGAGATACTATATCTCTCAAAATGGACTAGCATTACAAATCTATAGATATAAGTAAATGTTCAGATTCTCACATCAAAGGAATCTTTGACATGAGATCCAGGAATCTGTTGGTAATCACTAGGTTCACATGCTAAAAAGCAAAGTGACATTCAAGGTGAAGGCTTAGAAAATAGAAGGTCAGGGGAGAAATTAGGCATAGAATTACAATGTTGGATGTATATGTGGCTTATCTGCTGGAGGAGTAGGAGTTAAAATGGGGCAAGATGTGGAGATCAAGTGTGGAAAGTCATTTTTATAAAGGTGAACAAGCTCTATAAATTAATGAAGAGACGATGAGTTATATGTATAAGGTATTACTAAAAGATAATTCATTCAATGATTTACTAACTTACTGTCTTACGAACTTTTTAGGTATAAGAAGGAACAAGACAAAGTCCCTACACTCAAAAAGCTTACAATTCACATGGAAAGACAAACTTGTGAACAATTAAGTAGGATACAGTATGAGGCTATTAGCACTACAGGTGCCCCAAAGAGGGAAGGACTCATTCTTCATAATACTCGTGACAGGAAAGGTCATGGAATAGAGAATTACAGATTGCTTTGCTAAGGGTTAGGATTGAATTTTGAGAAATTCCCACAACTGAGGGCAAGATGAAGAAGAGTAACTGATGAAGGAGTTAGAAAAGCAGTTTTAAGAGAGTAGAGGAATCATAACTGGTATAAAGGTGCCAACACAAGGAGTTTAAAAATAGTATCAGCAAATGTATCAAAAGCTATAAAACGTTTAAGGATAAGGATTCAAAGACGAATAAAGAGGGAAAATAGTTTTATTTTATACTAAGGGGTCTCCAGAAATGCCTTGGTCTAATTTAGGAATCTTTGAAGTAAGATCCAGGAACTGCTCCCTAATCAGGAACACACACCTGGAAAGTAATGTCATATTCAAAATCCAAGCTCAGAAAATGTGGAGTTAGAGTAGAAATGACAGAAGTGGTACCTGGACTTATCGCAGTGCTTAAGAACACTGGTCTTCTCATGATATACTGTATTAAAAAAATGGGCAAGGCATAGTGATTCACACCTGTAATCCCAGGACTTCAGGAGGCCAAGTCAAAAGGAATGTTTCAGGCCAGGAGCTCAAAGACTAGCCTGAGAAATGTAGCAAGACTCTATCTCTGCAAATATTTATTTATTGATTTATTTTTATTTATTTATTTATTTTGAGACGGAGTTTTGCTCTGTCACCCAGGCTGTAGTACAGTGATGTGATCTCGGCTTACTGCAACTTTTGCCTCCTGGGCTCAAGTGAGTCTCCTGCCTTAGCCTCCCGAGTCACTGGGATTACAGGCACATGCCACCACATCCAGCTAATTTTTGTATTTTTAGTAGAGATAGGGTTTCACCATGTTGGCCAAGCTGGTCTCAAACCCTTGACCTCAGATGATCCACCTGCCTCAGCTCCCAAAGTGCTAGGATTACAGGTGTGAGCCAGCACCCAGCTTTCAAATATTTATTATTTAATTAGTCAGGCATGGTGGGGAGATCACTTGAGTGCAGGAGTTAGAGGTTACAGTGAGCTATGATCATGACAGCTCCTGGGCAACAAAAGAAGACCCTGTCAAGAAAGAGGGTGGGTGAGACAGAGACAGAAAGAGGAAAAAAGAGGAGGAGGAGGAGAGGGAAGGGAAGGGAGGGGAGGGGAGGGGAAGGGAAGGGGAAGGGGAAGGGGAAGGGGAAGGGGAAGGAGAGGGGGAAGGGGAAGGAGAAGGGAGAAGAGAGAAGGGAGAAGGGAGAAGGGAGAAGGAAGGAAGAAAAGAAAAAAGAGCAAACACAGATCTTCTTTGTACTGCTCCATAAACACCCACTGGGTTGGCCAAAAAGGTGTGTTGAGAGTTATTACAGTGTTCTTTTGCTTTGAAAAATTAAAATTGAATTGTTCACACATTAAAAAGATTAAAAACTTTTAAAATTTGGGAGACATTTAAAACAGGGTTATCTTAAAACCATGGTTAAGTAAATGTCAACTGACAAAATATTACTGAATTACTCATTTCTTTTCCTTCTCCCTATAAAGGAAAACTAGCTTTCAGAACAAGACAAAGAGGAGAAAGTCATAAGAACAAAGAATAAGTGCTTTTTAAAAATGATTTTCTTTTCTATAAAATTTTTCCATAAAGTTACATGTAAGAGAAGGTTGAGGCGCTTGATTAAATAAACTAGAAAAAAGGCTTTCCAAACCACCAATATGAAACCGACTATAGTATTTAAAACCTAGGAAATATAAAACAGAATGGAAGGGGAAATGGCCTTCAGTCCAGTTACAGTATCTGTATTGCCAGCCTTATAGGATAGTAAAACTATACAGATTTGTGTTTATTAATTTATAGATGGAGGTCAAAAATAAAGAGGGGGTTTACTCAGAGGTAAAGTCCCACCTCATAGGTAAATTTTATTTTGGACATAAAAAGTGATCGTTGTACACAGAGGCTCCTAATCCAACCCAGTCTTAATATTTCCTTGCTCCAAGTGTCATTCCATAAGATTTCCTTTTTAGAGAAGGAGAACAAATTTTTTTCTCTGGAAACAGCCAAATATGTCCTTTTATATGGAATGCCTCAGAAAATTATTAGATTCTCCGAGTAGTTATTAAAGCCTCCACATGGCTTTTGTGAGTGATTTATGCCCAAGTGCTTTCCTGAAGGAGCACATGAAACTCACATGGGGCTGTGCTTGGAGGGGCAGAGGCAAGGCCAGAGAGTCCGGACGTAAGCATGCTGAACAGGTCAAACAAAACAAGGGTGATGTAATGTTGTACTTAAATACCTAAAGAAAACCACATATGTTATCTAGGTTTGAAATGGCATGAATAGTTTGTCTTTCAGATACTAGAAGAAAATGTGACCTTTTCCAAAGCATATGTTCAGTGGAAGGTATCATCTTGATTTCTCTTCTGATCATGGCTTGTTATAGATTTGGCACTTTTCACTTGACCTAAAAGGAAACAGATTTTAAAATTACATATAATTATTTGCAATATGAAACAAAATGAAGCCAGTTTTTAAGACAATAGGCATGGAATAAATCAGACTGTCCCAGCTACTAATTCAACCCTAGTGTTGTTGGTATGTCATTCAAATATTCTCTCCTTTTCATTATATTTAAAGCTGTGAGGTCATATTTCCCATATAATCAGTATTATTGTCCCTAGTTCTGCCATTGATGAGAATAACTCATCAATGAGTGGATGAGTTAAACCTCTATCGTCTTCATCTTCTTAACTGCAAAGGCAGGGGTCATTTCAGAGGTTCCATCAAGATCTAACATTCTATGATTTGAAAGTGCTTAGAGAACATGTGATACAGGGGGTTCAGGGAGACAGGCAAATCTTCACAGGTGAGAAGGGAAGGAAGGAGGATTGTTGGGCCAGGTTAATGGAAGTGGTGGAGAGGTAGGAATAACTGTATATCCAATAGTCCCAGCTACTTAGGAGGCTGAGGCCAGAGGACTGTTTGAACCAGGAGTTCAAGTTCAGCCTGGGTAACATAGGAAGATCTCATCTCTAAAAAAAGTTTTTTTAATTGAAAAAAAATTAAGTAAAACACAAAATCTTAAAAAAATAAAAATAATTCAGGTCTTAATTATCTCACTCCTAAACGATACTCATCTCACTTTCTCTAGACTCCTCTCCCTCCAATCCATTTTACAAAGAAGGCCAGATTATTTTCCCCTACTTAATCCCTCTTCTCTCCTTCTACATTTATAATTTAGTAGTTTTAATAAAATGATCACATGTTAACTTTGCAACTAACTGTTTTTTCTACATTTCTACTGTACCTTGACACAAACCCAACTATAATCAGCCAGATGGTTACTGGCCATTTCCTTATTCCCACATTTGAACATTTCATCAGCATATTGTGCTTTCATTCTGGAATTTCCTTCATACTCCACGCTGGCTATCCATCTTCTCAGGTAACTCTTCTATCTTCATGATGCTTTTTCTTTATACTTAGGCTTCTCTGATCCTATAGAGCACTTAGATCATCTTTTTAGGTATGTTCTACTCACAAACTAAGTAGTAGACTCCTAGGAGAGTGCTATGTGTATGTTCAACAGATCATGTAATTCATACTAGTTCTAGATGGTAAGAAACATTCTGTCATACTGTAATACCTGGACTAGGGTAAGCGTCTTAACTGTTAAAAATACACAACATTTGATAAACATAAAAATCTTAGGTACTAAATATCCACATTCAAAAGAATTAAATTGGACCCCTATCTCATACTCTATATATACTATACATATATATGTGATATATATATATGTGTGTGTGCATTTGTATAGATATATATGTACATACTATATATATGACACATATATATATATATGTATCAAAAAAGATCACAGAACTAAACATTAGCGCTAACACTATAAAACTCTTCGAAGAAAACACAGAATTAAATCTTGGTGACCTTGGACTGGCAATGGTTTTCTTAGATATGACACAGAAAGCAGAAGCAACAAAGGAAAAATAGATAAATTGAACTCAATCCAAATAAAGCTTTTTGTGTTTCAAAACATAATTAAGAAAATGAAAAGACAATCCAGAGAATGGAAGGAAACAGAATCATATTTCTAATGAGAGACTTGTATTCAGAATATATAAAGAACTCATACACTAAAAATGAAAAGACAACCCAATTTAAAGATGGCAAGGCCAGGTATGGTGGCTCCCACCTGCAATCCCAGCACTTTGGGAGGCTGAAGCAAGCAGATCACTGGGGCCCAGGAGTTTGAGATCAGCCTGGGCAATATGACAAAACCCTGTCTCTACAAAATGTAGAAAAATTAGCCAGATGTGGTGGCATATCCCTGTACTCCCAGCTACTTGGGAGGCTGAGGTGGGAGGATTGCTTGGGCCCCATGAGGTTGAGGCTGCAGTGAGCCATAACTGTGCCACTACACTACAGCCTGGGCAACAGAGTGAGAGCCTGTCTCAAAATGAAAGAAAGAAAAGAGAGAGAGAGGAAGTAAAAAAGGAATGAAGGAAGGAAGGTAGGAAGGGAGGGAGGGAGAGAACAAGGGAGGAAGTGGGGAGGGAGGAAGGGGAGAGGAGGGGAGGGGAGGGGAGGGATTCTTCCCATTAATGACCAGGCAAAGAAAAAAAAACAAAAACAAAACATAGGCAAACAATTCAAATAGATATTTCTCCAGAGAAAATATACAAATGGCCAGTAAACATGAAAAGATGCTTAAAATTATTAGCAATTAGGGAAATGCAAATCAGAATATATTAAGATACCACCTCATACCCACTAGGATGGCTATTTAAAAAAAACAAAACAAAACAAAAAAAAAACAAGACAGTGACAGGTCCTCAAAAGGTTATATACATAGAGTTACCATATAACTCATTAATATACCAAAGAAAAAGGAAAACATGTGGCCACACAAAAATTTTCATACAGCAGTTCATTGCAGCATTATTTATAATAGCCAAAAGAGTGGAAACCCAAATGTCTACCAATTGATAAATAGATTAAATTTGTACTCACAAAATGAAATATCATTCAGCCATAAAGCAGAACAAAGTACTGATACATGTTACCATATGGATGAACCTTGAAAATATACTGAGAGAAGCCACCACAAAAGGCAACACATATTATTTTGTGTAGAAAATGTTCAGGGGCAGGTCCAGAGGGCAGACATCCTAACCCAACCTGCCCTACCCCCAGAAAAAAAAAGTTAAAAAAAAAAATGTTCAGAGAAGGCAAATCCATAGAGACAGAAAGTAGATTAACGGTTTCCAGGGCTTGAGGGAGGGAAGAATAGGAAATGACTGCTAATAGCTATAGGGTTTCTTTTCAGAGAGGTAAAATTCTAAAGTTAGATGATGGTGATAATTACAAAACTTTGTGAATATACTGAAAACCACTGAATTGTACTCTTTAAAATGGTTAACTTTATGGTGTGAGAATTAGATCTTAATAAAGCTATTATTTTTTTAAAAAATTTTAGGGTGTGCCTACCACCAAGATTCTGATAACGTTCACCTTCTGATTCTTAGGATAGTATTCCCACAGTAGGTTTTTCCCCAAATAGAGAATTATAATACTTAAACTGCTTTTTAAAATGCTGCAAGGAGGAACTAAGATGGCCAATTAAAGTAGCTGCAGTCCACAGATCTCATGGAAAAGAATAAAAACAGTGAGTCAATTCGACACCTTCAAATGAAATATCCAGGTTATTGCATTGGGACTGACTAGGCAAATGGCTCGACCCACAAAGAATGAAGAAAAGCAGGGTGGGGGTCAGCGGCCCACCCGAGAGTGGCACAAAGCCAAAGGAACCCCCACCGCCAGCCAAGGGAAGCAGTGAGTGACTGTGTGACCACGCCTAAGAAATCACACTTCTCCCACCAATCTTTGTAACCCACCAATCAGGAGATCCTCTCATGAGGCCATACCACCAGAGCCTTGGGGCCGATACACAGACCTGTGTGGAGTCTTGGCAGAGCAGACACTCAGGCTCACACGGAGATTCAGGAGTTTTACATACTCTGGCCCCAGGAATCCCAGCAAGGCAGAAGATCTATTCATATTCTCCCCTAGGAATGGGGCTAAATACAGAGTGCCAAGCAGTGTCATTCTGTGGGCCCCACTTCCACAGCACTTCACAAGTTAAGACCCACCACCTTGGAATTCCTGACAGACAGTGCAACAGGCTGGAGACTGTCTGAGATGGATGAGTCCCCAGGGATAGAAGCAGCTGCCATCCCTTTCTGCAATTTGTTCAATTCAGCCCTTCTAGCCTCCCAGCTCCAGGGAGTTGGAGAAATCCTGATGAGGAGGGTCCCACACAATGAAGCACAGCTGCTGTGCCAGATCTTGGCCAGATTGCCTCTTTAAATGGGACCCCAATCCATGACCCCTCCCTGGGTGGGGCCTCTCTGTAAGAATTACAGCAACTCCAGCCTGGGTTATACAGACATAAATCTGATCTCTTTTAAGATGGAGCCCCTCAGGGAAGGGATAACCAATGTCTCTGTAGTTCCGTTACCAGCCTTTCCAGCCTGCTGGCTCTAGAGAGTCTGCATGAGGAAGTGCTATCCCTAATGCAGCACACCTGCTCTACCAGAAAGCAGCCAGGTTGCTTCTTTAAGCAGGTGTGTTACCCCATCCCTCCTGACTGAGTGAAACCTCCCAACGCAGGTCTTCAGATACCTCCTATAGGAGTGTCCAGGATGGCAACAGGTCAATGCCCCACTGGGACGAAGCTCCCAGAGAAAGGATCAGGCTGCCATCTTGGCTGTTTCAACGCCTGCACTTGCTGATACCTCCAGCTAAAGGAAACACTGAGGCAACTCCCAGTTTGCTGAAGCCATCCCCCAGCAAACTGTAGCAGCCCTGCAGAAAAGTGCCCTGACTCTTAAAAGAAAAACAAACAAACAAAAAGCAACAACAGCAGCAGCATCAACAAAAAAGACCTCACAAAAACTGCATTCAAAGGTCAGCTATCTCAAAAATCAAAGATAGATAAGCTCACAAAGATGAGAAAGAATCAATGCAAAAATGCCAAAAATTCAAAAAGCCAGAGTACCTCTTCTTCTACAAGTGACTGCAACACCTCTCCAGCAAGGGCACAGAACTGAGCTGAGGCTGAGATGGCTGAAATGACAGAAGTAGGCTTTAGAAGGTGGGTAATAATGAACTTCACTGAGCTAAAGGAACACATTGTAAACCAATGCAAAGAAGCTAAGAATCATGATAAAACAATACAGGAGCTAATAACCAGAGTAGCCAGTTTAGAAAAGAGCATAACTGACCTGACTGAGCTGAAAACCACGAACAAGAAATTCACAATGCAATCACAAGTATCAGTAGAAGAACAGATGAAGAGGAGGAAAAAATGTCAGAGCTTGAAGGGTATCTTTTGAAATAAGACAGGCAGAGAAGAATAGAGAAAAAAAGAATGAAAAGGAATGA